AGTTCAAACTTTTCTCCCTCAGATCTGATGGCAGGTTTGGCAGATCTGATCGACAACATATTGATTGGTAGCCAAGCCACCATACCAAACCTGTCAAGACCATCTCGGGTCATAGCAACCGTGCAGAATGACCCCATAGTTTCCAAAGTTGTACATCTTCGTGGCAGCGAACCATTTCATCCTTTTCCCACAGATTGGCTGGAGGCCAAGCACTTAACCACTGTGCCACCAGAGCTCCCGCGAAGCCACCCGGGGCCCTTGTTCACCATGCTCGAAGCATAAAATTCACTTCTTACAAAATCGACCAAAGAAAAAAATTCATCTACCCCACATTTTGAAATACAGACTGATTTCTGTATTTTTCATTGATAGTATGATGAGTAAATGCATTTTTAATATCAGCTTGACTGGAAAGTCTCAGGATGCTGTGTAATGAAACAAAAACAGTAGGAGAGGCTTCATGCTCTGTCTCCACAAAAATCAGTTCAACTCCACCCAGCACAGGCCAGTGACACTGGTTAAAATTTGGGGTTAATGACACTTTTCAGTAAGAACTTGCTTATCATTTGCCAAGTTTAAAATGTAACAAAATTTGACTCAAGTACTTGCTTAAAAAATACATTCCAGAGTCACTGCTGTTAAGTTGATTCCCCTTATGACGGAATAGCACTGCTCTTGAGGCTGTCCATGATGGTAAATCTTCAAGGCAGTCAAAAACCTCACTTTTCTCCTAAGGAGCTGCTGGTGGTTTCGAACTACAATCCTTTTGGTTTACAGCCTAACTCATAACCACTATGTCACCAGGACTCCAGTGATGCCTCAGTTATAGAATGCAATTTGCTCCAAACTTGCATTAAATACCAAAAACTTCAAGAACTGCACACATCTTTCCCATAAGAAATCATGAAAACCAAATAATTGGTTTGGAGGCACCAAAACTACACATAGAAATTCCATTTTCTAGAATTTTGAATCACTGTGGCGAGTCTTTGCCTTTTCTGTTTTTCGGTCTTGTGTTTCTGTATGTTTTCCAGTATATGAGATCCGGGATGGGGGAATCCAGAGAGACAGTCACTGGATTCATGGTTTCTTGGGGGTGTGGCAGGAGAGGTTGGGCAGAAATGAGGAGCTAATAACCAGGAGTACAAGAAAGAAGAGAATGTTCTAAAATTGATAGTGGTAATGATTGCAAAACTCTTCTTGATATGATTGAACTACTGAATTGTATGATATGTGGATTATGTGCCAATAAAACTGCTTTTTTTTAAAAAAAATTAAATAAATCTGTAATTAGCACCGTATAGTTGTTTACCATCATTTGCTATTGGCTTTCTAGGGGAAACTTCTGGTAAGTTACCAAGACAGGCACAAGAACTGATGAGAAGCCCTAAAAATAGTATTAACAACTAGATTTTTAAAGCACGGAAAGGTCATTTCACTATCTGTGCATCACATTACAGCAGAAGCAGAAACTTTCTAATTTAGTTCTATAACTCTGTCAAGAAGAGAACAGTCGTAGGTGATTTGAATTATTCTACTTCATGGAAACACATGGAAAGCATCTATAGTGTATTCTAAAGATCTGGAAATAGAAGCGCTAAACCCTGGAGATTAAAAGCAGCAACAACAACAACAAAAGCTGACTTTATATTAGGCCCACAGGGGAAAAAAATCTCAAAACCTGATGGGGCAGTTCTACTTCGTTACATGGAACCACCATGAAACAACTCCATGGGACACTGAAGAGGAAACAAACTGAAATTGGATGGATAACAATAAGATTGCAACTCCGCCCCTATCAATATTCCCTTTTTGCTAACACAACAAAACTTGGCTTCATTAGTCACAAATGAAGTGAAGAGTTCTCTAATGTAAGGGGCTCTATCTCCTGCCTCTCTTGATCTGGACAACAGAGTCTCTGCCTTTTCTGTTTGTTTTTAACATTAAGTCATTTAGAACACACACATCTGAACAAGCCTTCCTTCTCTGGCCTTCTACCTCATCCCTACCAACACCAGCAGTCAGCAGCCAGTATGGGGAGATGAGAGGCCGGGAGGCCCCACCTTACCCTGGCCGGTGGTCTTCTGGAGTTTCTCTGCCAGAAAACGCTGGTTGATAGCCCGAAGTACCTGCAGGGTCAGCCGAATGGCATCCTCCTCCCCATAGTAGTTGACCATCAGAGTGGCCAACTTCACTGGCCCGGCCATCTGGAGCACACCTCGGGGGATAAGAGAATACTCTTTCTCCAAGTTGGTGTTTTGCAACATGAACTTGAACTTCTCAAAGTCATAGAGTAGCAGCTGCTCCAGGGAGTTCAGGAGATGGTCACTAAGGGTCTTGGCCATGGCACTGACCAAGAGAGGTCAGAGCTGGTCGTCTGACTTCTGGAAGGAGAAGCAGCCCGTGTTCCGGAGCCCCACGGGTGAGTGAGGGAGGTGGCTTGTGAAATAAAGGAAAAGGCACCGGAAATGCTCTGTGCTCGGGTAGAAACTAACATTGACACCATGAGTATGTCAACACTGGTCTGTCGTCTGTTCCTCGTAGATTCAGAGAATTTTCCACTGTGAGGACTCCGTGCCTTTAGATAAGAACATGGGGTTTTCCAGACCACCCAGCTCCATCTCCACTGACTGGGCTGCCAAGAAGTAGGTAAGTTTGTAATGGAGAGTCTGGGGCTTGATTCTAGACTCTTAATCCTTGGGTTGGCACTCAGGCTCTTTCTTTCCTTTCTCCTCCTCTCATGATACCAAGCTGGTAAGGGGGTGGGGAGCAGTTAAAACCTAGGGAGGACCAACAGGGTTAGTCCCTCTGACTAACTACCTCTCTAACTCCCAACTACCTCTCTACCTCTCTGCAACCCAGCCAATGTTGACATGCTCGAAGTGTCTGTATCAGGGAGATCTCTTGTATTCATCTGGAGTTGAGAATAACAGATCTCCTTTTGACCCAAACTTCCCTACCTCCCCCTTGTATAATTAAATTTTAAGAAAGAAATCTGAGACTTGGAGAAGTGAGTCATTGCAGTTCTCAATGCATTGTCAGATAATGAACAGACGTTTGCTTAGAATGACTCAACAACAAATATATGACAATATAACAAAAAGAGAACACCAAATGCTTGTTACTCATAGTTTGTCTACCAGCAATTCCTAAACCCATCTCAGACTCTAATCTCAACACTGACCCTTACTTTATTGCTGAGATAACACTTTACACACTATTGATAAATGAAGATTTTAGAATGTAGAGTTGATCTTTATAAGGCCAAGATCTAAATGGCCCTGTACCAAAGGCACTACATCAGAATCTATCATCAAAAGAGCTGTATTAAAATAGCCAAGAGGAAATGGGGCTCTGGAAAAGGCCAAACACACACACACACACACACACACACACACACACACACTGCTCCAGCCAGGTGTGTTGTGACCCATGGCTAATCTGGGTCCTGCTCTTCAACAGCAGGGTCGGTCACGAGTTAGAGAGAAACAGAAAGTGTATTTATGAGAAAGCGGCTCCAGTGAGGCCAAAAGCAACACAAGCTGTGTGGATGGTGTCCACCGTGAGCTCAGAAGAGCGAATAGATACTTCTTACTTTGGAATTCACAAGCTGGGAGAGTCACGTACATATGTTTTACATTAACTCAAGTCTCAGGAGAACCACAGGAAACAATTGTTGACCGTGAGCAAGCAAGCAGAACGGTAAGGTCATGTAAGTCTTAGGGCAACCTCAGGATGTCCGTGGACTAGCCTGACAGCAGAACCTCGCGTTTTTGGTCACTAATAGGGAAATGAAAGAATATTCCAAAAGCTATCTGGCTTTATATATATCTCCGTACAATTGCGCCTATCGAACCTGCAATTATTTGTGGGGGGACTGGCTTTTCCCCCACATAAAAATTCCATAGAGATTACATTAAGCAAAGTATGTTGGACTAAAGCATTAAGTAAAGTAACAGACTACCATCCTCCTGGCCCAGAATCAGGAAAGCACTGGGTCAGGAAGCCAGGCATTTTTATAGAATGCTCCTGTTTAATTCTCCCTCGGGTCTATTTTATAGATGATGACATTTCTGCTTAAAGCAAGGTGACCAGCTATGACTGGTTTTCTGAGATTTTCCAAGTGTTAGCAGTGAAAGCCCACGACGCCTTCAGTGCTTGGAAATCGAGGACAATCCATTGCCCTCCTTGAGATTGACAGACTGAAAACATTAAATAGAAAGGAGCAAGCTGGGCCATTCATGTAACTCATGAATTGAAGCAAACCAAAATCCACTAGTCAATTTTGACTCATAGCGACCCTCTCGAACAGGGTGGCAGTCAGCTAGATTCGAGGCAAGGGGCTCGATGGTTAAGTGTTCAGATGCTAACTGAAGGGCTAGTGGTTCAGACTCACCCGGTGGATCTACAGCAGACCCAGTGGTCTGCTTTTATAAAGGTCACGCTCTGGGAAGCCCACAGGGGCCCCTCTGCTCTGCCCTCCAGGGTTGCTGTGAGTCAGAATCGACTCGACAATGTGGGTTAGTGTTGGATTTTTATCGTCTCTCTGGAAGGAGTTCTGGTGGGAAAATGGTGAAGCGCCCAGCTGCTAAGGGAACAGTGGGGACCCACCAGCTGCTCCGTGGGCAAAAGAGGTGACAGTCTCCTTCCATAAAGGTGACAGCCTTGGAAACCCTGTGGGGCCGTGCTACACTGTCATATGGAGTCCCTGTGAGTTGGAATGGACTGGATGGCAATGGGCTTATACTAGATACTTTGGATACAGAAGTGAATAAAACAAAGTGTGACCCAACAATAAACAAATAGATTTTATGCATCATGCCATGAGGAGGATGCTGAAAAACAACAACAAACAACAAAGAACCCCATGATCTGCTGTGAGCTTTATTCAACTTCTATAAAGTAACAGCATAGGGACTGGGGTGTCCATGGCCCATGCTCAGAGGTTCAAGCTTCCGGCCAGGAAGGGGTAGCACACCTAGGTCGGCGTTCCACCTGGATTGGCCTGTCTGGGCCAGGTGAAGTCAATTCAGTCAATGGGATTGACCAGGATTGTCAACCATGCCTCCCAGCGGAAGAATTGAAAAGGCAGGATCCCGGAGCCCACCGCGTGACTTTCTGGAGCAGCTTACAGGTAGGCTGAAGAGGGTGAGGGGCCCTGCAGGTGCCTGTGTAAACCTGAAACATCTTCTAACTTTCATAAAACTCACTTGGATCCCAATCCAGGCTTCGGAATGAATTCTTTCTTGCGCGAAGCCAAGGACCGAGGTATATTTCTCCCACGAGAGATCTAACACTTCTTATAAAACATCTTATTAAAAAAGAGATGGGGGAGGGGGGCTTTCTAGGGGATTGGTTGTGGTGTTTTTAACGGGGCAGTCCAGGAAGGTAACTTTGAGGGAGTGAAAAAGTAAGCCTTGCATTCATCTTGGGGCTGAGTAATCAAAGCATACGGAGTAAGTGCAAAGGCCCTGTGGTAACTAATGATGTGCCTACTGTTTGAGGAAGATAGTGGCTTATGTGACCAGAGCAGAGGCAGGAGAGAGGAGAGGGTGAAAGGTGAGAAGAAGAAAGAGTTAGAGAAGTGGGCTTCCAGGCTCCAAAAGGATTTGGGCTCCTATTCTGAGATGAAGGGTTGCTGCCGCAGGGGACAACTCATAGTGGATAGCAGAAGGCCTTGGATGATGGACTGAATGCTGGAGGGGTGGGGACTTAGGTGAATGGAGATCCAGGACACCATTGTTTTCAAGTAGATTACACAAGGGCCCTAGAAGCCATAAGGTTCCTGGGTGACACGAACAGTTTGCAACTGGCGACTAACCTAAAGGTCTGTTGTTGAAACCCACCAAGCCCTCCCAGGGAGAAAGATGTAGCCATCTGCTTCCCCAAAGACTGACAGCCTTGGACACCCTATGGGACAGCTCTATTTTCCAGAGGGTCCCTGTGAGTGAGAATCCACTCGGGTGCCATGGATTTGGTTTGGTTTGACTTCCCTGAATAGGGGTAGGAAACAGGTTTAGAGAATCCTGCTCATTATCCACCTGCCCTGTCCTCCACCCAGGGCAGAGATGTCTCTTGCTTGTGCCAGGCCTCTGACACTCCCACACATTCGTCCTGTATCCAAACAGTTTGCTTGTGAGTCTGGAAGCTGCACAAAGCGGTGGGGAAAACGTTTTAGTACCTGTTACTTGGGTGAGTTCTGAGTTTTCTCTCAAATAGATTAGTTCGTGAAATAAAATGACATCGTGTATGTAAACATGCCCGGCAACGTATAAGTGTCCCCCAAACGGTAGCACTGCACCACCCACGATGTCGTGGGCAGCGTGGGTGAGAGTGGATACGAGGTTCCTGCCCCCTCCTCAGCATTGATTCAGGGAGTCGTTGCCCCTAGCTCTGGCTGTCTTGCACGCCCGCATCTTCCCCCTTGCTGGTACCTCCCCCCAGGCAACAGCTCAGAGGGGAATGGTTTGGGGAAGGAGAAGAGAGGCCGTGGATAAAGGGGAAGTGTCAGTTCCAACCCCACCACCTCGATCCCAGACTGTTAGGATAGGGGGAAGGAGTCGCCAGATAGTGCGGTGTGTCCGCAGGAAAAGAAGCCTCAGGTAACTGCTGTGAAGGGGTGCAGCCTGCCCGGGGATCCGCTCTCGCCACGCAGCAGCCTCGGTCAAGGACTGCACATCCCAGAAAGCCTCGGAAGTGACGAGAACCAATCGGAGGGCTGGTGGGCGGGCCAACAGAGGGCGATCCGCCGCCGCGGCGCCGACGCAATTGGCTGTCCCCTCCAGCCGACAGCTGCTGCTTCCAGAGTGCTGCCATCGGTGGTCCCCCATGCCCTGTGTCACTCATTAGCTGGTAGGCCTCATCATGAGACTCAGGGACGTGAGTTAAGCAAGAAAGCGAAGACAGCCTGCATCCTTAAAGCTATGGGGCGGTTCTACTTGGTCCTATCGTTGGTGAGCGGGAAATCAACCTGACAGCAACCTTGGGTTTTTTGGTGAGGCCTCATTACAA